TCACGTTTAGCCACACCCACCGACAGGAAGTAAAATGGCAGGAAGCAAAAAGGGCTTTTTTGAAAGCTCATATCTCAGTGAATAATTTTTTATGAACAATGGGAGTTGTCAGACTTCATTAAAAAGTTCAGGCAATCATATTAAGCCAATAAAATAAATACCTCAAAAAACCATTTCAGTTACCCTTTAATTTCGTGAATCAGAAAAAATCCGCGAAATTTGTTATCCTCGAAAAAAACCGCTATACGGTAATCAACTCACAGTAAGTTCAGCCACTGCTAGTACGTCTTCCCATCTTCCCAGCTCCATGTACATTTCCATGGCATTCTCTGAATCACCTTTCTCCAGTAGGAGTCTCTCTGCTGTCTTGAACTGCTTGTTCAGTATAGCAACTTTAGCCTGAATTAAATAATGCTTACTGCCATCATGACCCTAGGAAAGAAGAGGAGAGAAAGAAGAGGAATTTGAGGAAAATACATGCATGTACATGTACATGTACTGGCATTACTTATACAGATATTGCACAGTGAAAAATTTCATTGTCATTTTTGACACCCTCAGTTATTCACAGCAGTAAGTAATGCTGTATTTTTGTAAGAGCTGTGATAAAATCATAGACGGCTGCAGGCCTAGGCATTGGGGGTCATTGCCTAGGTTAAAAATTAGACCGGAAGTAGGAACAATGCTATTTAACCCTTTTACCACACCCCTTTAATTAGAAATGCCTAGGCTGAGTTGGACTTCTGCAGCCGCCAAAGGATAAAATTAGCAAAATTTTGCCACACTAAAATTTGTTGGTACTACACATGTATAGAATGTAATTATATGTACATGCATTTTGTATGTTAATTATACAATAATAGTTTTTATAAATTACACACATGCACATAATTCTTACAGTTTCAGTTGTTATTTTGTTTGCTAATTGATTAACATCTTTCAAGTACCTGGCCTTAGACACGTCACGAACAGCAGCATAACACCTTTAAAATGATAATACACAAATAACATGTACATGTACATGTATAGCATCATTATTATCATTTAAATTAGTTATAAACTGGTACATGTAGTTCCCACCTTACAAATGTACACTACATACCTTAAGGTTACTTTTAAATGTGGGTACTATTAATTGCGAATTTTGCGTTTGGGTTAAAAATCCCAATTATTAATACTCGCAATTATTAATAATGACATCATGATGCTATATAACTATTAGTAATAATTACTTAATTGCAATTTTTAATGCCAGCAAAATCTACCTTGTGTTAAAATCGCAAAATTTAGTACCTGCAATTAAAAGTCACTCTAAGGTATACAGGTATGTACATATTAATTTTTAAAACTTTTAAAAATAAAAAAATCCTATTTTTAATGGAATCATGCAGTCTACACAACAAAAGCACATATATAGTTTTGTAAGCAATGCAATATAAATGTTACATGTACATGTACATACCGTTCTGCCATCTTCAGTTGTCCCTCCTGGAGTGTAATACCAGCTAATGTGTTCCACATTGCCTCAACTTCTTTAGTGAGTTCAAGTGTCTCAAGGAAATGAATAGCCCTCAAATGATCACCATCATCTATAGCTAATGACATACAAAAAAAAACATGTACATGTAATGATGTATACATGTACATGTACAATGTACATTGTACATGCATTGTACGTGACATGTACATGCACATGTACATGTCACGTACATGCATGCATAACATAACAGCAAAAATAAGTACAGTAATAAATTAAATTACCATATTTCCTCAAATAAAAGCCCGTGGGTATAATATGTTTCTTACAATGGCATTTAGCCCTCAAAAAATTTTGTTTAATAAAATAAAACTTGAGCTAACATCAAGGTGACCTCACACACAAGACTTTAGGAAGCTTAAGGGCAAGGCACCTACTATATGTCATTTAGAGGCTGGACTCGCATATTTATAGTTCAATTTTATTGCTACCCTAGCATTTATTCACACCCGGCTTTTAATTGGTGATACACAGTACATGTAAGTATGGTTCTGTACCAGTTCCAAACTCAATGAGTCCCTCATCCAGTCCATAAGACATGGTCTCTACTCCAGACTGAACTATAACTTGAGTCTGCCCTCCTTGCTTCTCAATCCCAGTCACCTCTCCTTTCATTGGGAACATTGTCACCTTGTCAGGACTATCAATGTTATACCAGATACAGAGACTGTCTCTGTTCTGAGCCACAACAACATCACTCTGAGGGACCCACTACAAGATAATGGAATTAAGGAGAAAGAGAGAGAGAGAGGTAAAATTTGCATGTATATGTACATGTACATGTATTTAGTCAAAGGCATTATGTGATTGGTAGCATTAATTGTTATTATTATTATACTGAATAGACAAGTTTTAGGGAGTGACATTTTGTACATTCAATCAAGCCTATATGCAACAAAATTTGCTTTAAAATGCATGATCCAATTGATCTTCTGTATGGATGTACATGTATAAAAGTCATGCAATTATAATACTCATACAATTACTTATTGTGGTTTCAAAAAAAAATCAATTGAGTTCTATCACCTAAAATGTGCAAACTTATAAAATGCTGGCACCATTGATGTATTGATATTGACATAACTATAATATACAAATGTACATGTAAGTATAAGGTTGTACAGAAGTCCTAAAGTCCAGTTCTTTTCTCTTAAGATTATTGTGTTTTCTAATTGCATGATGTTGTGATTGTTCACTGGAGATAGTCCAATTAAAGATCTCATATTTTGCTGTTGCAGTCTGTGTGATACAGTTCCATGTGCATGTGTGTGAATTACCATATAGCAGAAAATTTTGGAGGGAGTAAAATTTTGGCAAATTGCTAAATTTTGGTGATTGGCAGATTTCAATTTGGCAAATTAGTGGCCACATGCCATTGAGCATGCGTATAATGGCTAAAAATGGCGGATTTTATTTTGGCGAATAGCTATCAAAATGCCAAATTCACCAAATTTAATTCCTTCCAAAAATTTCCCAATATACGGTAGACCAATTAAATAAAAAATGCTGTAATAGTGTAACTGTAATAAGTATACTGCACACACACACACACACACACTATAGCTGAACTGTAAAATTGTAAGTAACAGACCAATAACACTTCATGCCAACTTGTGTTGAGTACAATGAATAGTTCATTAATTGACATGCCAATTCTATCAATACATGCTAAAAGAAATTAGAGTATGATACTTCCAGTGGACAGACAACTAAGGCAACAAAAATTAATGAATCTTTCTGATCACACTAAAACTTATTAGTATGCATGATGTATAATACTGGTACTATCACTGACCATGTAGTAAGAAGAGCCCCAATCCTCTTCTTTTATGTCACATAAATTAATTCTGGATATCGTACAAGACGATTTATTGGCGGGGAATTAATATTGGCGATTGGCGGTTCTATGAAGAAATCACCAATATAAAAGTCGCTATTTTGCTTCAATCTGAGCATGCTCAATGATGCATGGCACAAAACTGCCAATATAAAATCAGCCAATTTCTTTCCACAGGCAAATTTGCCAAATATTACTCCCACCAATAAATCTTCTTGTATGGTATTTAGACATGAAAATATCATACTCATAAAAATTGCTATATTATTATGCCATTAATTTCTCATAATATGCTATCTATTTTTATCATGTTTATATGCTGAGGCTAATTATCATTACTATTATTTTAGCTACAAATACTTCCTGATTACTTTCCACCATTCAGGCTCCTACTCTTTATTCTCATAAAACTGCTAAAGTCCATTTGTGTTCACCTGAGCCCTCATTTTCTTGTTGTAACAATTGACTTACAAGTTCTGTTGTAAAAATAATCATACCAGTGTATTCCTCTCCTTTTGCCGCATCTATTGTAATACTTAAGAAGCAATTGTAGCTTTTTAGCTCCAAGTTGGTTGTATAACCCATGAAGAAGTACAGCCATACTTTTCACAATAATATTGCATGTGTTAATTATTGGGTGGGGTATGTAATCACTTTCTAGGCTCAAATAGACTTTAGCATAATAGCCCAACCATGAGTGATATTTTGTTCATAGTTTCCTTCTACAAATACATCAATATCAATTATGCTTGCATTATAAACAAATACATAGTGTGGTACGGTGCTAGGTACAGACAAGTTATAAGGCCAAGTTTAACAGATGCAGTTGTGTGATTACTAGTAATTAGATAGTAAATCTATTCATGCAGTTTTTAGCAGCCAAAATGGTGAGTATTTCATTCACTTTCACAGTTTCAGTTGCATCAAAATTAAACTTGCATTACTTCTAATACTGACAATGAGAGGCTTTGTTTATTAGTCAAATTTTAGTAATATAATCTTCAATTTTTTTACAAACCAGATATTCTATAAAAGAAGATGATCAGATCACATTTCTACAATCTCATAAGAAGAAGAAGACTAAGGAAAGCTAAAAAACATGAAGACCTTCCTCTGTATATGTCTCATTACTTACCTGACCAGTGCTCTGAGGTATGTTAACTACATGCTTGCATCAAATGAATGTTACTTTTCTCCTGCAGTATATGCAGTGCTAATGACTGGCCAATCTCTCTTGACATGGCTTGTAATAAAGCTCTTTCTGTAGTTGCTTGTACTTTCGAGTTCACCAACAATGCAAACGAGGATCTTTATCTCTTGAAACATGGTACACCTCTTGAAGGACTTGTCTCTCAATTTCTCACTGTCTCTGTTGCTGATAGTCCTGTCGAATATGATGGACCATTCATTCATCGTCTTCCTCCTACAAAGGATGAGTTTGTTCTCTTGAAGGCAGGTGAAAGCATTTCTGCCTCAGTCCAAATCACTGATGCCTTTAGCATTGATACTGATGGTATCTACACTGTACAGTACAGTAGACCTTTACAGTATCTGTCAGTGAATGAGATGAGTGAGTTGTCTAATGGCCTAATACGGGAATCAACAGTACAGGAATCTATTCACATCTATTTGGAGGACACTCATGTTCTCTTAAAACCAAGGAGGCCAGACGAAACAGATAAAGTTGACTACACTGTTAACATTGAATCCTGCAGCAGTGCTAGCTTTACTGGTGGTACTGCAGCTAACAACAAAGGAACACTTGATGCTCACAAGCAGCTCTGCAGTGGGATCGATAGAGTAAATATTACCAATAATGATCTGTATAAGAAATGGTTTGGAGCTTTCACAGCAGCAAGAGAAAAAAAAGTAAAGGCTGTCTATAAGAAAATGAGGGATGGATTGGCAGGTAACACAGTTACTTATGTGAATGGTGGCCCACACTGCAAGCCTAATACGTATGGCTACACCTATCATAATGTTAAAAAGGTGCATATATGCCCTGCTTTTTATACATTTCCTGTTTCTTGTGGAAGCCCTGGTACTTACACCAAGGAGTTTGGATTGATTCATGAATGGAGTCATGCTTTTGGTCTTACAGTTGATAATGTATATGGCTCCTCTCAAAGTCAAAACTTAGCTAAAACCAATCCTGATAAAGCAGTTGCAAATGCTGATAACTATGGATGGCATTACTGCGAATGGCAGTAACTGGATCAGGCCGTTCAGCAAAGCCAAGAACATAACATTAGGACTCGTGCAACACTATAGGACATACACTTTTCTTTAATAAATAATTGTAATTAATTATCACATTTTTTTGATTTCTTGGCTTAATAAAATAATAATTTTCAAAATTGAGAATTTGTACAGTACATGACAATGCGAGCTTTACAGAATGTATCATTAATGCCCTCAAACTTTGACAGGCTACACATACATCATATTCATTTACACATGAATCATGTCACTGTTCATGATACCGTACAAGATGATTTATAGACTACCCAGAGTGAGAATTGCAAAAGCTATGAATTTAATTAATTTTATATGTGGTATCCGCCCACGTCATAATTGGCTGCCATTTTGGTTGGCAAGTTTGTTAAGGAAGTCAATGGAGGCACAAAGAAAATACCTCACTTAGCTGCTGTAGCTCTATCAATAGCTAAAAAGTGCTTGTTATAAGAAAAAACAGCTGCCTTTAAGCTTCTCCTATAATAGATTTGGTCAAATTCACTCCAGAATTCTTAATACAGGTTTTTTCTTATGTCGGCCTGTTTGTTCTCCATTGAAAGTTGTGAACCAAAATGGTAGCCGGAATTTATCTCATTCTAAACCACACCTTACAACTGTAACAGTCTTCCCATGCAAGCAATTCTCACCCTGGGTGGTCTATTGGCGAGGAATTAACAACATAAGATAAAAGAGTTATAAGTGTTTGAAAATCATAAAAACGGCCTATATAATGAAAACTTTAGAATTTGTTTTCAAAATTAAAACCTGACATGACATGAAACATGTTTAATTATGTTTAGGACTAAAACATAAGTAACAAGTACCCTAATTCTCCTAATGTTACATGGAACATGACTAATAAGTCAATTGATAAAAAAATTCAGGTACCAATTTATGAAATAATGCAAAAAAACATGACAAAGTTATTTTACCTGCACAAAAGAGCAGTAAGACAGCAAGGGACTCAAAGTCTCAGACTCAACATCATATAAATTCAACTAAAGAGATGGAGAGAGAGACGAAGAGAGAGAGATGGAGAGAGAGAAAGAGGAGGTACATGTGTACATATGAAGTGATTTAGAGGATGAATACACTGGATATAACACCACTCCAGTCACTTACTTTTAGCTTCTTGTCACGAAAAAGTAACTTGCGACCAGTTTCATTCAACTACATGTACATAGAATAAAATACACAATGTATACAGTATACTTACATGTACATGTATACTATACAATACTCTACATGTACATGTATAATGAATTGTGATTGTACATGCATATGTACATTTAGAAGGTATTACCTCAAGCCAATTGATTCTAGTATCATGTGACACACTGCCAACAGTGACTCCTGAACTAAGATCCACTAGAAAAATAGCAAAAATCAACTAATTAAATTTTAGTGTTGTTGTAGTTCCTTGGAACTAGAACTAAATCAATTCTAGTACTGCCTTTTTTTCATAGTTCTAGTTCCAAGAACTAGAACTAGTACTATTTTTACAACCAATGTAAGAACTAGAACTAAACTAGAACTAGCTTATACAAGACTTGTAGTACTAGAACTAAACTGGAACTAAACTTTGCCAGAGTCTCAGTACTAGAACTAAACTGGAACTAAAAGTACATTCTCTTGTGGCACTAGAACTAGTTTGGAACTAGAATTGTAGAACAATATTACTTGACAAAGAAGGTACTAATTTGTCAGGGAAATATTTTAGTACATAACAAAGACTGAATAACAAATAATGTATGAATGTGTTACTTAGACATAGATTATAATGCATAAGTATATCAATAGACTTTTGAATACTTGTTCAGTTCAAAGCTAAGCAGTTAAAGCATGACAGCAGAAGCAAAAAGAAGCATTATTTAGAAATTATTTCCAATTAGAACTAAGCTTCTTAAACTCTATTGTCAGAACAAGTACAAGAACTATAACTTAGCTCTAGAACTAGAACAATAGCTAAAATTTATTGAAATCTAGTTCTAGAACTAGTACTAGAACTAACTTTATCAAACTATAGTTCCAGAACTAGTACTAGAACTAAACTTTATTAAACTCTAGTTCCAGAACTAGTACTACAACTAAACTTTATCAAACTCTAGTTCCGGAACTAGTACTAGAACTATATAAAATTATGGTACTACAACAACACTATAATTAATGTACATGTACATATTATGGTTCATTTACATGTACATGCAGTACATGTACAATATCAAAAATTACATGTATGTGATTAGAATTAGCATATACAATGTACATGTTCTTATAGTTGGAGCTACATGTAGCTCCAATCAAATTAAATTTTTTTAAGTTGCTAAAAAATCAGACCGAATTCCCTGTACTAGCATCATACAATGTAATAAAAATTGATTTGAGTGACTTCTGACTAGTTACATGTATCACTTACTGATGCTGATTGTTTGAAGGTCCATTAGATATGCCAACATCTTACACTGTTCAATGTCTTTCTGCTTCCTTTCATTAATACGGACACTAACAAAGGGGGAGAGAGAGAGAAGGGGGGAGGAGAGAGAGAGAGAGATAAAGAGAGCATGTACACAATACATGCAACATGTGTAGCATCTAATACATGTACATGTACATGCATTACATCAGGGTTTCCCATAGTGAGCTAAACAGCATTCTTCATGAGCTGGCAAGCACTATAATAGAGTACATAGCATTTGGAGCAACTTTAAAAATTCATAAGAATCCAAATTTGATCAAAATTATAGCTAAAAGTTGACACACATCATAAGGACACATATACGACCAGAAAAAATGATAAAAACCAGGATTTTTCTCCAAGCCATTTTTGACAAAATTTGGCCTCTGGTAATTGGCCCAATTTTTGAGCAACTTCAAATATTCATAAAAAATCCAAATTTGATTGGAATCAGCTCAAAGTTGATACACAACATAAAAACATGTACATGTATCAGAAAAATTATTAAAATAGAGAATTCTCTCCTTGTGACTTTTGTCAAAATACCCTGTACTATATAGCAAGGCTGCAAAAGTCATGGCAGCCATTTTGAAGTGGGGTGAATCCTACTTAGTAACGCTACCGCGTTACTAATAGTACAGGTCATTGGGCCAAATTTGAATAACTTGAATCCACTCACTAGAAGCTGTTGAGCTGCACTACATCTATGTCAAAAACTCAAAATCCTGTGAAAAAGCCTGTAACATGCAGGTACATATGATCAATGAGATTCATGTGTAAAACCACAAAAATGTAAAAAGTGAGACCCACTAGCAACTATTCAAACTGGCTGCTTTAAAAGGTCAGAGCCAAGCCCCATGCAACTAAGCCTAATACTGCTCAAGTAAAACAATTTTTGAAAGGGTGTATGCACACATGCCATACCCCTGATGATTTACACTATGTTTTAGTTAAGAAATAATGCACATGACATACCTAATGAGGTGAGGGTTCATAACTTCAGTTCTGACAGATCCCAATATATCGTTGATACCATACTCTACCAGTGTGAGCTCTCCAGCATTGAATATCATACAAACTGATTGATTCTCAAAATAAAACTTCTCATTGCCACCAGTATCAGACCACATGATCTAAACAATAATAACAACAACAATAATAAAGATAATAATAATAATAATAATTTGTATATCATTTATAAGGCAGATGATTAGTGGCAAAATTGGAGGATCATTACATTAATTTTAAGTACAAAAATGATTGTTATCGATAAGGCAGCCAATAAAAAGTGTCAGTGAATAAAGAGATACCGTGATATCATAAACTATAACATAGTTTTGAAAACATCATTATTATTACAAAAATTAAAAGTTATTAATAACTATTATTATTAAAAAAATAAGTTATATAAAATTTAAAGCTACAATATACATGTACATGTAAAAAATCCAGTACACAATACATGCACTTTATGTACATGTGTACATGTACATGTATGTACACATAGTACCGTATACGCAGATATTTTCGAGTGATAAAAAGTTCGAGGGTTAAACTTACGTGGGGATATTTTTTCGTGGTCTGGGACAACAACAAAATTTTTGGCACTCGAATTTTTAACCCCAACGAAACTTTAGTCATATGAATTTTTAACTCCATGCTATCACGTGTAGATACAAAGTTAGCCAGGCCCAGAACTATGGCGTTGGATGAAGAGTATTCTTTGAATCTTTGCGTCAGAGGCTACCATGTTTATCAGGACATCTTGGAAGCTGTGATAAGGGAGACATTACAATGTGTCAGAGAACTGGAGAACACTTATAATTCGTGGGTGCAAAACTTTCAAGGGTTAAAAATTCGTGGATTAGTGCTCTCCACGAAAATATTCACCCATCGAAAATATTAGCGTATACGGTATATCTTTAATCTTACACATTCGAGATAAAAGTGACATAAAGTAGTAGCAAATTATAAAACACTAAAATTAGTACATGTACGTGTACATGCAAATAATTGAAGTATGTGCATGTGTATACGTATACATGCATGTACATGCAACATACATGTACACATGTACATGTACATTCTTACCTCACTGAGTTTACAGTTGGCCATGTCTCCCAGGAGTATGGTAGATGAGGTGTAGGCCACTAGGTACCTGTCCTTGCCCATGACATCAACCTTCTCTATCTCATAGTCAAACTGTGACTTTAGTATCACACGAGCACCAGTACCAATATTCTTTACTATCACCTAACAATGAATGGATGAAGAATAAAAATAAGCTAAATTTCATGTCCAGTATTGTATAGTACAATACATGGAGCTATCACCTAATAATAAAGCAATGAAGAATAAAAACAGTTAAATTTTATGTCCAAATTGTCCAGTATTGTAATGTACATGCAATTTGCCTATATGAGCATGCATGTACATGTACGTATAGGTAATTATTATTATGATGATTAAAGTAACATAATACATAATGTAGTGTGTCTACCTGACTGGGTCCAACATAAGTTAGTTCAAATTTATTACGATAAGTGACACGTCTAAGACAGCAATCAAACAAATCAACAGCTCCACACAATGAACCCTAAACACATATAGTAAGTATTACCTATCATTATTACTGTGTAATAAATGCATAAAAGTATTATAGTACAGTCAAACCTGCTATTGTGGACAGTCTAGCATAAGGACACCTCTATAATCAGGACAGGTAGTATCAGTCCCAATACAATATAAATGTGTATTGATGAACCTCTGAAATAAGGACACCTCTTTAATAAGGACAGTTTTATTGGGTCCCAAGGTGTCCGGAATAGACAGGTTTGACTGTATATGACATACATGTAAGTAAAGATTATCTGTAGTGAAGTCTTTATAAACTACATGTACATGTACAAGCATTAGTGGTTAACTTATTGCTATTAGCAGCAAATATACATGTATAAGCAAGGGAGCAAACAAGTAAAAAATGAAGACATAATTTGTTATTGTGTATATCCACAAAGACAGATAATTACAGATGTTAATCTTGATCCATCTCTCTTCCAAGTGAGTGCAGTGATGGTGTAAAGATTGTCAATAAACTTAGGAGTTGCTTCATCCCACATCTCCTTACGAGGAGACCAGTTGTACACCCTCAGTCTAAAATTTAAGAAAATTAATAAGATAATAACGTATAGTTCAAAATGTACATGTGTAACACACTATGCTGAATATTATTGCCAGAGTTTTAGAACAAACAGATCCTTGTTCTCACCTGTTGAAGCTCCCCAGTACAACAGTCTGTCCACTAGGAGATGTTGCTGAACACATAAACTCTTTCTCATCTTCTTCCTTTGAATAGTCAAACTGTTGGATAGGCTTACCTACATGTACAGTGTAATAATTATTGAGATTCTGCACGACAATAGCGATTAGCTAGAGTTGCTGCACGTAGTAAGATTAGCAGAGATCAAGTTAAGATACTTTTACAACAAAAAGAGAATAAAACTGCTCTAAGATTACAGAACTTAAATACAAAAACATAACAAAGAAATAAGGACACTATTGTACACAGGTAACTAACAAAGGGTCCATATGGAGTACAAGTGAGTCCT